GTATACTGAAAGTGATATTTGACTTAATACAAAAGATATTGAAACATGTTATCCTTATAAGATCATTCTTTACACAGATAGAGGATCAAATAAAGACAAAATTCAGTTCAGTTTAGAAATTATTGATTCACAGCTAATTTAATTTCAATTGGCTTTTAAAAGAAAAAGGTCCAGAGCGTCGATCAGCCGCACCTTGCTGAAACATTCCTACTTAAATCCTGCAAGAAAACAGCAACAACAACAAAAAACAATAATAATTCTCCTTCGTACAGAAAAAATGTGTAATTGTAAACATGGGTGGGTTCAGACTTCAGTCAATTTAGAACCTGCAAGAGATCATTTTCTTTTTTGAAAATGCTTTCACTGCTTGCAAGGAATTACGGTTGTGTCTCTGAGGTGATTCAATACAGAAAGGAAGCAGAATCACAAAACACAATGAAAAATAACTTAGATTTCATGATAAGTCTCTCCATTCTCAAAACTCATCAGATCCTTTTGTTTCTAAAAGGGAATTTGATTCAACACATTTACAGACATTCATACTGTACATAAAATCCAAATAACATTCAGATAGATTATAGTGAAGCAAAACCAGAGTTTAAAGAAGGATAACCTTTGGATTCAGAGAAAAGCTCGATAAAGGCAGTTTTAACAAATGGAAATCCGCAGCGGTCTGTGAAGGTGGAGCAGGTCAGGGTTTTTTTTAAGGGATTGAGGAATAAAATAAAAGATGCAAAATCCCGAAGAGAGTGCATCAGAAAGCTCCCATGGCCACAGATAGAGAAACAGCAGATTATGAAACCGCGGCCTGGAAGGGTGTTGCACCAGAGGCATAGTTTTTTGTTTCTTGTGCAGTTTTCCTAGAAGCAGAGCAATAGCAGATAAACAAACCCTCAACGTGAGAATAAACCGGATTTATGACATAACAGGAGTGTGTTTCTACATTTAACACTGATAGCTTTTACCTCTTTCTCACACAAGAAAAAGTTCTAACTCTTTAAATTGCTACCGATTAGAAAGTTGAATCATATTTTTTACACCGTTCCTCTAAAGCAGCACATTGAAACTAATTATGTAATTAATAAGTTTAGTACTGCACCAGTGTTGGATAAAAGAATAAAAATATCTTGAGCGTCTACCTGATTTATTTTAATGATGCACATGGAAGCGATTCTTGTAAAAACAGTCATTTAAAAACTCCAGTGAAACAGGAAAATAAACAGTATAACCAGTAACATGAAAAGCTTCGCCACTGAAGTTTACCTGAGTTTAAAATGACAGAAATTTTTTCGTCAAAGAAGAGAGGCTCATTTACCACCAGGTCATATAGACTAAGGTTAAAAGATCAATTACAGTGGATGAAGACAAAAGAGGTGAACTTATATTTTACATAGGGAATGTAAAAAAAAAAACATTAACTTAATCATTTAAAGCTACAGTGTGTAATAATTACAGGGATATACAGTCAGAAATGTAATATATTATACATAACTATGTTATTTATCATCATCTACGAG